TTTTTTTTTTTTTTTTGCAAAGTAATAGTGTTGGACCCTAGCATCCAATCATCGAGGAAGAGGAGTCGCTCCAAGAGACCATCTCTCATATCACAGCTGATCTAAAAGTATGAGGATTTTATAAATTCTGTCATGACAGGGTCTTCCAGCAGTCGGAAGGCTAGAAGACCCTCAATGTCTGGTACAGGCTATTTTTAAAGGGAAAAACCACAGAAGGAAGGGGTGTCTGGGGGTTGTTCTTTAACTATTATGATTGGCTTATTCAAAAAGGCTATTACCAATAATTGGCTGGAGAGTGGTTGCCAGATCAGATGAGGTAAAGGGAAACTTCTGAGGGTCACTTTGCCCCTTCCCAGGGACTAAGTCAAAACATCAGTAACTGAGTCAAGACCTAAGGGTTATCTTGCTCCTATTCAGGGAGATGGAAAGTTACCAACATCTCAGTACATGCTGTTACGTCCTTGGTTCCCAGGGAAGAAGGGGAAGTAAAGATTTGTCAGAAATGGCTTCAGAATTGTCATAAAGTTCCTCAATAGGATAGTGGATTCCAGAGACAGATTAGTAATTTTAGGTTATGTTTAGCCTGCTCTTTTGCAGCTCGTCTGTCATGAGTGCAGAAAGGGTAAGTGTATGTAGGAATGTGGACCGTCTTGGTTTGTGAGTGGATTCCCTGTGCATATCTACACTTAGGGCATCTACTCCCTTCCAAAGATATGACAAGTAATGTAAACACTGACTTGTGTTCCTTATTTTCCATCTTCATGGAGTACTGGATACACTTTATTAAACTAAATTTGTCTCAGTAACTATGGATAATCATGGTTACTGGTGACATTCCCTCTTGGTTTTGTGGCTGTCCAGCTGACTTTTAATTATCATGGATAGTTACAAAACTCCCAAGTAAAAATTCAAACACTGTCCCAAGGAGTGATAGTAACAACTATTTGGACACATGTAGCAGTTTCTAGCCAAATGTATTCAGCTGTATCCTGAGACCCATGAGTTCTACACATGTTCCTTTTAATTAGCACTTCTGATGTGCTTCTTGAGACTGGACATGGTTTGGAGGAACAACTTCTGAATTTATGGAAGTGGATCACTCAACAACAAATTAACCCCACACTTGGCAGCTTAGAACTACCCTGTGCTACTCCCAGATCCTGTGGGCCAGAGATCTGGGCCTGACATCATAGAGATGGCTTCTCTTTATTCTGTAGTTTCTCAGATGAGATGGGATTCAGTGTCTGGGAGCTGGAATCATTTGACATCTGCTTCACCGATGCCTGGTGCCTGCCTGAGCTGAGATGATTGAAAAATGAGAATGCCAACCAGAGCAGCAGCACATGACCAGCACATGACCTATAACTGGCTTGGCTTCCTCAATGCTTGGGAACCTCCAGATAGCATATTTTTTTTAAATAACATTTTTATTATGTATTTTCTTATTTGTTTCTGTGTACAGGCCATGGTATGCTTGTGGAAGTCAGAGGATGACTTGCTGGATTCAGTTCTCTCCTTCCAAGTGGGTTCAGGGATCAAACTCAGGATGTCATCTTGGAGGCAGGCACCTTGATCTGCTGAGCCATCTCACTGTCCCCTGTCAGGTGTTCTTAGGTGGTGGCCCAGGGTTCAAGATACACATCCAGCAATGAGCGGAATGAACATATATGATGAACATCACGTCCATGATGCTGTATTTAAAGCAGTCCAAGTCAGGTCAAATTTAGTGAGACACTGCAAATGTCTTTAGAAAATGAAAATGCAGTCTGTAACTCCAGTTCCAAGGGACATAAACCCCTCTTTTGGCCTCCATGGGCTCCTGTGTACAAGTAGTATACATACACTTATGCTGGTTCATACACATATACATAAATTTAAAGCCCTTTTAAAAAGTGCTTTACCACATTTGGCAATAAAAATAAATTTTCAGGAGCTAGACAGATGGCTTAGCAGTTAAGAGCACTGGCTGCTCTTCCAGAGGTCTGTAGTTCAATTTCCACAAACCACGTGGTGACTTATAGCCATCATCCATAATGGGATCCAAGGTCTCTTCTATCCTGCAGGCAAATATATATATCTCAATAGATAGATAGAATCTTTTAAAAATAAAATCTCAAATTTCATCACCTTCCTTAAAATATTTAAGATATTGGCCCAAGAGCTAGTAGCATAACAAAAAAAAAAAAGAGAGAGAGAGATTTGCAACTTAAGATCATGGCTAGTACTTTGTTCATAGATAATCCTTGTTGTGTAAAAAAGCTCTTTGGACTCTTTTGGGGGGGGTCTTTTGGGGGGGGCCCACCCAGCTCCTAAATAAGTCACACACACAGGCGTATTCTTAGTTATGAATATCTGGCCTTAGCTGGGTTTGTTTCCAGCCAGCTTTTCTTATATTATCCAGACTACCTTTTTTTCTCTATTTCTGTACTTCCTTCTCCATGGCTTGCTGGGTAGCTGGGTGGCTGGCCCCTGATGTCTTCCTCTCCTTGTTTTCTTCTTGTTCTCTTGCTCCCAAATTTCTCCTTTTATTTATACTCTCTGCCTGCTAGTCCCGCCTATCCTTGTTACTGCCTCACTATTGGCTGTTCAGCTCTTTATTAGGACCATCAGGTGTTTTAGACAGGCAAAGAATCACAGCTTCACACGTAATCAAATGCAGCATAAACAAAAGTAATGCACCTGAGCCAGGTGGTGGTGGCAGCGGCCCACGCCTTTAATCCCAGCACTTGGGAGGTAGAGGCAGGCAGATCTCTGTGAGTTCGAGGCCAGACTGGTCTACAAGAGCTAGTTCCAGGACAGGCTCCAAAGCTACAGGGAAACCCTGTCTTGAAAAACCAAAAAACCAAAAACCAAAAAAACAACAACAACAAAAACACACCTGAAAAATAAATACTATCCAACAAATCCTCAAATATTTTTTTTTACCCTTTCTGGATCCCTGTGGAACAAGGTGAGATACCACCACTCTGGAAGTTCCATGTATCTTTTAGGAAAAGTAAGTAGGCACAAAAGTATTGTCGCTCTGGAGCCCTGTGTACCCATCCTTAAACCTCTCTGCAGTAATTCACCAAAGCTCAAGTGATGAGGGATTGGTTAACTACCGCTAAACACCTAGACAATGCCCTTATCTTAAGATCTAGGTCTAGTGACAGATTTTATCATTACAGTACAGTTACAAAATCTAGACAAAGATACAGTTAGTTCTTCAGCCAAGCTTGGTAGTAACTGTCATATACCCAGTATTCAGGAGGCAGAGGCAGGAGGATCTCTCTGAATGCAAAGCCAGCCTGGTCTACATAGCAAGTTCCAGGCTATCCAAGACTTCATTAGAAGACCCTGTCTCAGAATACCAAACACCCCCTCTCTCTCTCCCTCTTTTCTCTTTCTCCCATACACACACACACACACACACACACACACACACACACACACACACACACACAGCTCTTCAGATTCAGGTGGGTGTGTTTTGAAGAGTTATGTTGCAATTTGAGGGTTTTGTTTGGTTTTGTTTGCGACAAGTTCACCTACGTTGCCATGGCAAGCCTGCTCCCCCAGAAAACTGGGACGGAAGATGTGACACTTGCCCAGCATGTTTACAGCTGTGCCGTCCTTTGACTGTGACTGCCATTAACTCATTTAGTTCTAGAAAGAGCTACTGATGACCTACAGCTATCAGAATACCTTAACTCTCCTGGAAAGAGTTTTCTCTTGACATTCTTATGGAACACTTCTCTTCCTCTCATTAATGTTGTATTTGCTGAGACGCTGCTCTGACCTCTACCCAAGCCTGCTCTGATACTGGATGGAAGATAAGAGTTTCAGTTTCTGTGCGACTTGAAAGGACACTGGTCACTGGCACCAGGCCCACAAGCATTTAAGGGTCCTCTCCAGTTCTGTGCACTAGATCCAGTCCCTCTGTTCCGAAGAAGAAACGCAATTGTCCTGCTGGCATCAGGCACGTGCCTGCAAGCGAGACTGCACACTGACTGTTCCCATGGAGACCTTGCAGTCAGTGTTCAGTGTCTCCCTGTGGTACAGTCAGATTCCACAGGCTTTCAGGTGCGAACTCAAGATGTACTTACTAAAAGTGGGGGTTCCTGAGCACTAGTCCCCAAAGCTATTGGTGTGGCTTCTTTTCTATGATATATTCACCCTAGCATGCTTTCTGCTCTCATCATATACATGCCCGCCATCACCCATTCATATGAATATGTCAGTTTTTACTGGGTGATAACACACACTTTGAAAACACAGTGACCTGAAACAGCTATTATTTCTTTGCCCAGTGAAACTGTGAGTCATTGCCATGGGGCCAGGCTCCTAGGGCAGCCCTTTCGGTCCTGCTGAGTTGACATTTCTGTGGTCAGCCAGGACAATGGCTCCACATGGCCTGCCCTCATCTAGACTGTGCACTGGAAGCAGAGCAGGTCTTCTTACAGCACATGGGCAAGGCTGGGGCTTCTCAAGCCTCTGCATTTATAGGTCTCTATTATTATCTTTCGTAACACTCCATTAACCAAGTAATGCACCCAGCTAGCCCAGACTAAGGCAAGTCTGTCTCTTGGTAGGAGGACATTCATCCCTTCCCGCAGGCTCCTCTGACTGGACTCTGCTGCTCCAACCCCTCCTCTGGTCACAGTCATTTTTGTTTGACAAGTCCGACCCCACCCCCGCTGCCAGACTCTCTCTTTCTGTAACTTAGCTGCTATAGTTTCCAGGGAGAGCCATGAACTGGTCTGACCTAAAAGCTCAGCATAAAGAAGGAAGTCATCATGGAGGGCCATGTGCTTGTTCCTACTTAGCAACAACATTTTTATTAAATGTCTTTTAGATTTCTTTGTGTGTATGCTTAAATATTTGTCTGCGGGTACGTATATGCACCATGTGCTTGCCTGGTACCTACGGAAGTCAGAAGGTGGTTTTGAATCTCCTGGAAATGAAATTTGGATGATTGTAAAATAGCACGTGAGGCTGGGAATGAAACCTGGGTCCTCTGCAAGAGCAACAAGTGCTCTTAGCTACTGGGCCATCTCCCCAGCACCAAAACCTTTAACCATTCTGTGCTTTTGTTTCTTCATCTGCATTATAAAGGAGTTTGTGTTAAGTCTTTGAGGTTCTTTAAAAACTCAAGATAACTAGGCTGTGGTGGTGCTCACCTTTAATTCCAGCACTCAGGAGACAGAGGCAGGCGGATCTCTCTGAGTTTAAGGCCAGCCTGCTCTACAGAGAGAGTTCCAGGATAGGCAGAGCTATACGGAGAAACCCTATATTGAGGAACAAACAAACAAACAAAAACAAACCCTAAGGTGTCGGTGTATCTATTGCTCCCTAAATAAGCTGTCGTTTCCAGTCAGACCAGCTCCTTGTTACCTCTGTCTGCTGCTCTTTTCTTTCTTTACTGCTTATTTTTCTTTTATCCTTTTTCCTATTTGATGTAGGATTCTCCTCTGTATGCTGTGAATACCATTGGTTACAAAGAACCAGTCTTAGGCCTGTGATAGGGTAGAGTAGAGCTAGGCGGGGGAAACTAAACTGAATGCTGGAAGAAAGGAGGCGAGTCAGGGAGAAGCCATGGAGTCGCTGGAGACAGATGCACTGGAACCTTGCCAGCAGGCCACAAGCCTCGTGTAAAATATAAAAGAATGGAAATGGGTTAAATTAAGATGTAAAAGCTAGCCAATAAGAAGTTAGAGCTAATAGGCCAAGCCATGTTTTAATTAATATAGTTTCTGTGTGGTTATTTCAGGAGTCTGAGCAGCCGGGAAATGAACAAGCGGCCTCCTACTACACCTATTTATTTTGAGATGTTTCATGTAGCTAAGGATGGCTTTGAACACATGATCCCCTGCCTCTGCTTCCCAAGCGCTGGGATTACAGCCATGGTTCTGGCGAGGGCTGCTCACCCCTGTACTTGCTGATATGTGCCGTCTGAGTTGATGGAATTACATTGTCTCTGGGATAGTTTGGTGTTTCACCAACCATGTTATAACTTCACCGAGGGGAGAGACTCTGTTTTATACATCCAAGCTCGTGGTAGACATCCAGGAAATATTTGCAGATTGAGCTTCTATTTCCATCCCAGGTCACAGGAAGCAGGAGCTGGCTGAAAACTTAGAAAAGCAGGGGTGAGGTGGTGGTGGGTGTCAAGGAGGGCGTTCGTTAAATACACCTGAGGTAGGATGCCCTTACCAGAGCTCAGCCTCAGGCCCTCTGCCCTGGGTGACACTGGCTTCTCTGTTTCTTACAGGTGTAGTCCTTTCCTCCCGTCAGCAACCGCCATGACGCTGACGAAAGGTTCCTTTACCTACTCCAGTGGGGAGGAATACCGTGGCGAGTGGAAAGAGGGTGAGCAGGGTCTCAGGGCAGCCTTCTTCACGGATCTTCATTCCTCGCTGCAGGACACAGCTCACATCGTACCTGCCCTTTATTTCAGGGCTTAATGAAGGAATGGGAAATGAGTTCAGTCTTCCCACTCTGGATCGATAGTGCTTTAAGTCTCTTGTCTTATGTGTGTTTAACACAGTCTCTTGTCTTATGTGGGGAGAGCAAATGAATTTGTTTGGGTGTAAATTAGAGTTTAGGATTCACTGCACTGACTTCTTTGCTATGAGTCTTCAGAAGTTAAGGAAGATCTGGAAATGAGAGAAGACACTCAAGAGCAAGTGGCACAGCTTTTTACACTTGGAAGTGATCTATTCTTAGGGATAGCAAAATTCTTTGGAACTGTGAACTATGTTAGAAACTATACCAGAAGCAGTTTAATGGTTCAGTTTGGAAACTCAGCCTGGACACTTTAGAGCTCACAGGTTTGGTTCTAGCAAGCCACGAAACTGCCCAAGGAGATGGGCTTTTCATGCCCATAGAGGCCAAGAGCAGTTCATACTGAGGCCAGGCCTGTGCCCAAGGAGACCAGGCTTTACACACTCACTGAGACGAAGGGCAGTTTTTTGTGAGAAAGGCTATGGAGGGTATAGGCTGCTAAGCCAGTAAGAAGGGACCCTGAAGCTGCCCCATTCCAACCTGGTCCCTGTCCCTCTCTTTGCTCAGGCCGGAGACATGGTTTTGGTCAACTGATGTTTGCAGATGGTGGCACCTACCTGGGTCACTTTGAGAATGGGCTCTTTAATGGCTTTGGGGTACTGACCTTCTCAGATGGCTCAAGGTAAGTATGAGCTCGTTCCTTTCTCAGGCTGTGATAAAAATGTGGGGCACTGGAGAGCGTCTGTTCAGCCCTGAGCTTGCACAGGCCAGAAAACAGGCAAGGGGTGGGCAGTTCTCTTATTGATAACTTTGATTTTTTATTTAATTTTTACTTATTTGTAAAAGGTGCACCACACCACATGTGAAGGTCAGAGGAGTCTGTTTTCCGCTTCCACCATGTGGGTCCCCAGGATTTAACTCAAGTCATCAGGCTTGGAGACAGGTTTACTTTGCCTACTAAGCCATCTTGCCAGCCCTTATTATTTTAAAATAGATGCAAAAGTCAGGCACGGTGGCATATGTCTGTAATCCTAGGACTAGAAAGGCAGAGGCCAACCTGGGCTACATAGCAACACTTCATCTCTAAACAAAACAAATACATTACATAGATGTGAAATTGGAAACGGCCGAGAGGTGAGTGACTTTCTGCTTTACCTCTGTTCACTTAGACTCTTTCCCTGGAGCTAAGTTTCTCCACCTATGCCTTCTGAGCCCTCTGCTGCTGCGGAATGGTGTGGTAGCACAGGCAGAGCTCTGGGATGGGCGGAGTGAGCTTTGCTCTGCGCCTTGACTCACACCCGCCCGCAACTGCTTGCCTCGGTTACCCCAAACGGCTAACCCACCCACTAAAGGCTAACCACCATCTTGGTGTCTCTGCAGGTATGAGGGGGAGTTTGCCCAGGGCAAGTTTAATGGCGTCGGAGTTTTCATTCGCTATGACAACATGACCTTTGAGGGGGAATTTAAAAATGGCAGAGTAGATGGTTTTGGTAAGTTTCACCTCAGTGGGATGGTAATTTGGTGTAACAGGGATGAAAGCACTCCTCCGTAATCCAGCAACCTGTCGAGCCAGCGTGTCACTTCCCTCTCCTTCAGCCTCTACACGTGGAGCTGACCTGAAACGTTAATGCCGGCTCCTTCTCTCTGTCCTCAAAGGCTTGCTGACTTTCCCTGACGGCTCCCACGGAATACCCCGCAACGAAGGTCTGTTCGAGAACAACACGCTGCTGCGGCGTGAGAAGTGCTCTGCCGTGGTTCAGCGGGCGCAGAGCGCCTCCAAGTCAGCCAGGAACCTCACGGCCTGATGGAGCTTTGGGCACATCTGGGAACATCCCTTGTGCGCCTGTGGCGGCAGCGGCGGCGAGGCGAACAAACGAACCCGCTATGAGACGGGATTGACTGTGGTGGCTGTGGTGCCACCGTCTGTGAGGTGCTCTGTCGCCTGCCAATCAGGAGTTCAGTCGCGGGAAAGCGCGAAGGATTTGGGCCCGGAGACCTTGTTCTGCCCTTCCCTGACCTGTGCTCAAGAACGGGGCGCCTCTCTGCCTTGCTGTTACTCCGTTTCTAGCACCTTGGTACCCAGTGCTGTCAAACCACACAGAATCTCCTCATTCCACCTACCCTTACAGTAGATGATCCTGGCTCCGACTTAGGGCCAGTCCTGTGTGCCGCCATGGAGAAATCGGGAAAAAGAGGGTGGCTTAGGCCACAGTGGTTCTGTGAAGCCTAGAACAGAGCTTTCCTGTGTGTTACCCCTCATGCACCGCACCTGGAGGCCTGGCTCCAGGCTGGTCTCTGTGTCTTCTATTCCCCTTCAATGTAAGAGCGTGGCTTTCTTCTCCCTCAACTTTACAGTTAACTGTCTTCCCTACCTGACTTACAGCAGATAGCCCAGTCCCCATCTGTGCCTCTCTCTCCCTTAGATGTCAGACAGGATCCCCTCATAGAATAGCCAAATAAGAAACTAGTGTAACCAGGACGGGCTCCAAAGCTACAGAGGAAACCCTGTCTCGAAAAACTAAAAAAAGAAAAAAAAAAAAAAAAAAAACACCA